TTTTAAGTTAATTTAGTGTTCAGCTTAATTGAGTTGTTTTGGAGTAGAATGAATATTTTTTATGCGATAGAAGCAGAAATTTACTGCCCTTCAGTTCTGGCTTGAAAGATCCAGTCAGGCCTGATTGGTTACCATTTGGTTATGGAACTGTTGCACTATATTTGCTTTAATTCTCAATGTAAGTAAGCACAATTAATCTGTGGAGAGCAGATTCTGGTCAGATACCAAGAAGTGAAGGTCTGCACCCTGGGAACTCAGGAATACTGATTATTCTTTTAGATTTTCATCAAGTGTACAATATGCTAATTGGTTTGACCACAAAAAAGATAAGCTCATTTCTCTTTTCTGTGGCTGACAAAAATTATACTGACTGGCAGATATTATAAAAGCAGGTTTTGAACATCAAAAGCTTATAAGTTTGTGTGGCAGTTTCAGTTCAGCTGGGCAGAAACACCAATTAAGCGTAGTGGCTTTGGTTCACCAATCCGAGTTTCCTGGCCAATGCACCAATTAATGTAGTGGGTCTAGCGCTGGCCAAATGCCAGTGCACCCACTAGAATTATTTACTCATTTTCTGCTGTGAGATAAGGATTAGGATGAGAGCAAAGCAGGCTCAAAACTTTGAAGGGTATAAAAAAAAGCTTCATTAAGAGAGCTAAAAGAAAAATAATAAGAAATCAAAATAAACCTTCAGAACACTTCTGCCTCCAACTCCTATTTCTATTCCTACTGACAATGTAAAGAGACAAAATTTGATATTTTCAGTCAGTTTGCCACTTCTAAAATAATCTTTCTTCAGTTCACTTAAGGAGAGGAATCTCTCCTGCCATGTCATGGCGACTTTTCCACAGAAAACTGTTCTCTCGTGGTTTTAATTGTAATGAATAGCAGCTGCCCAGAAATCTGCAATCATCAAGTCCCTCCCACGGTTTGGTAGTCTTCCCACAACTACCACCATGGGCCATTTCAGCTTATTGGTGTGCAATTTTAAGTATAGAAATTTCCAGTATAGAAACAAATGTTCTCTTTTTTTATCTCTGGGAACAGAGGTTTTCTTCTTCTATCCCTGGGGTGATGCTTCTCATCTCTCTCATGTCTCTCTTCAAGTTTCTCATTGGATCACAGTTACTTTAACATTTGCTTGCTTCAACATAGGTGCTGCCCCATCAGTCTGCGTGGGCTGTGCGGTGGAGCGGGACCTGGCCCAGCCAATGTCCAAAGGCAGGAAGCAAGAGAGCTTTTCCTGGGGCTTGTTCATCTTTAAATGTGATTTCACATGGGTGTAGTCAGCTCTCTTAAGTGGTTCAACAGGTTGTCAATATCCAAAACTAGCCAGCTTATTTGTTCTGTTAGGTCCGAATGAAGCTGCCAAGGTCCTTACAGGGAATCACTAATGTAGTTTGTGTTTAAGGTAAGATTTTACCTTAACTAAAATCTAAACGATGTTAAACTATGACAGTTTGAAACAAGAAACTCATTTAATGTAAATGGCAAATCGATTTGTTTGTTAATTCTACCCAAATTACACTTCTTCTGACTAATACAGCACACTATATGACTGAACCAGCTCTTTTACCTGCCTTTAAGTCAGATGAGAAATTAGTTGTATTAGAAGTTGTATAATAGAAGGTTAGAATCACCAGTCTTTTATTTTGTCTAGTTTTTATTTTCTCAACTACAAAGCCTATCTTCCTGGTTAAAGGAGACAGATTGGTCATCTCCGTATGCTCAGAGACCTTATACAGAAACAGAAAGAAATATAAAAAGAGGTAATAATTTCAACTTTCTTTTTTTTTTTCTGTCTGAGACTAAAGATTTAGATATTTGATCTATGTCAGGCCATCTAAATCTACTTTATAGAGATGGACAATTCTGACATGGTGGGCATGATTAAATCTGTGGTGTTGTGTCTCCTTTTCGCTGACCAGAGAATGCTTATTTATATCCAGGTTTATGGTGACAGATTGGCTTGGCAAGTGCGATTTTTGCATCTCTGTAGGCCTTATACTACAGACCTTGGGATGAGTGAGGCATTAATTCAACTGTCATTTCAACTTGTAGGGTGTCTGTCCTTAGACATGCTTCATTTCATTTTGACTGCAACAGCTTGAGAACCAGCACTGCAGCAAAGTCACGGACTACACAAGCACTCTGGCCATGAATTACTATCTAACTGTAAACTAGCAGTGGTAGCCTAGAACCTGTAGGACTTCTTAGAAATGGTAAATTCCTGATTGCCAGTATGTGTAAGAGTTAATTAGAATGGACATTTATTAGCCTGGACAATACCGCATGATGCTTTTAAGTTGCACAAGCTGCAATGTCCCATCCACATGTTGTTTCCATGCATAGAAGATTGCTTAAAAAGTAGAGGTGACTCAGTGATACTGCCTTTCTTTGAAAGGATTTTCATACTGTGGAATGTGAGGTGGTGACACTGAACAGGTTAAACAAGCTGATCTCAGCAGTCCAGGGTTTTCCTTCTGACAATGCCAATATTTTGACAATAACTGAAAGGTTGGAAGCCACTAGACCTCAGCAACTGAACAGCCCATATCCCCTCACTTATAGGTCTCTATATGCCCAAACATCTTTTTGGACATCTCTGGGGAGAGGACACATCTTCCCCAGTGGTTCCTTACACTACTGTGAGGTAGTCCACCCCAGGCCCCAAGTGATCTAATACTGGTGTTGTCCAGACTCCACTTCTACAGCTGGAGATTTAGAAGAAAACATTCAAGATCAGGTAGGATGGGGCTCTGAGCAACCTGATCTCGTTGAAGATGTCCCTGCTCATTGCAGGAAGGTTGGACTACATGACATTTCCAGGCCCCTTCCAACCCAAACTGTCTGTGGTTCTAGGGTTATTAAACATATCCATTTGACCCATAACGTGAGATGTTTTTGTTACATCTCAAAGCTATAAACTCTGTCTGCATGTTCGGTTTTGGTTTCAACTCTTTTTTCACCTTAAATTACTCCAGTGGGCAAAATTATAAATAGTTTCTGACTTTATTTAGTTCAGTGTTTATACAGTTGTGTTAAATACACACACAGACACACAGACACACACACACAGAATATAAGCAAGACAAACTATTATTCTTCAATACATTTTCAAGATCTGCTTGAAATATACACAGAAAAATTGAAGTTTAGCAAGCATGGGGGAAGAGTAGCAGCTTTGTGTGTAAGAAAGACATGATCCTAAGTAAGTTCCATTGCCCATTTTTTGACGGATGCAGGACCAAGATAATAACCATTTTAGTACAGATGTTACAAATAACAGCTTGTGAAATTGTGAAATAACACTTTTCTTGATGAAAGTGTTATTTCACAATTTATGATTTCTCCATAACAGCCTTTGCTACATTGTTTTGTCTAATCTTTGTTCTATAAAACACAGAACACCTTGTTGTGTACTAATTCCCACTCAGTGTTGAGCTCCTCCTTGGAAGTTATGATTGTTCTGATCTCCTCGCCAAAAGTAAAGCAGCTTCAAGCCTCACAGAATTCAGGAACATTTTGAGACCCTTTCCCTAACATAAGGTAGACAACAATAATTTATTCTTTGTTTAGTACTGGGCATGTTTCTGCAGCAGTGGAAAGCTGCATGTTGGGAACTTAAATTCCTCTTAAATTTCAGTTATGTTTGTACAAAACCTGCCACATTAACTCACCAAAACTTGGAAAGTCCACTTGAATATAACAGAAAGGTATATTGTTTCCATGTGCTGATAGTTGGTTCACTCTTGAATTTTTTGGTCAGCTGACCTCTCACTCATTTACCTGAAGTTCTCTGGATATTTTCTTTACATAACAGCTACAGGACCAATGTTACTGAGTGTTTCCTTAAAAAATTACAGCTGCAATGAGTTTACTGCACTGTTTCTCCTAGAAATGTACTTATTTTCTCCACACAATTAGGAGAGATTTCCACATGAACTCTTGAATTTTCAGAAACAAACAATATATAATGTATGTGTACATCCAATTATTTCTATTTGTGGTTTATATAAATAAAATCTTAAAATTGTCAGCTATACCATAGACATCTGTTAGGTTCAAATTTATTTAGCTCATAAAGTTGCAAAAATATATAACTGTCTCCAAGAACTTCTGTCTCATGTTAAGATTGGTGGAAGCAGTCCTGGATGAATAAGGGACATTTTTTGTTTCATTTTCAAATGCCTTCCTTTCAGTGCAGAAACTGCTAATTTCTTACACTTCCAGAACCTGTGCTTGCTCCTTTGCATGCAGCTGTCACTGCTGTCACTAAAATTGCTCAAGGCTTAAGGCCTCACCTTTGTCTCTCTGTTCCTGTATCCAGCACCTAAAAGACCCAGACCAAAGAGTTAAGACTGCTACATTCTATTACTATCCATTACTTTGGGAAAAATAATGGAGTCATAAGGTGCCTTGCACTTGCTAAAATTATAGCTTCAGAATAAATTAATGCTTCAAGCAATTAATGCAGTGCTTTAGTTTGCCCAGACTGACCTAAATGAAACTTTTATTTCATTATTGGCTTGGTCCAGTTTCATGCTTGATTCATATTCAGCCTTACCAGATCTTCCATATCAACTCCTGATCCTGCTCAGACACTTTCACAAGATTTCTTTTTGTTTTGTGTGGGGTTGAGACTAGCAGATGCATTTGCAGGATCATGGGTTGGAGTTGCAGATATCTGGTTCTTTTTAGCAATAGCCCACCTTTATTCTGCTTTTTGTTAAATAATCCATAATAATAAAATGTGAAATAATCCAGAATTTAGGGAATTAGCCTCAAAACCAGATTCTACAATTGTGGCAAAAACCATGTTAAAAATTAAAGTAGATTTTTCTTAAGTTATTAATTTTAAAGTCTCACTGTACAAGTCTCGCTGTCAGCAGAACTTCTTTTGTTGAATATTTCTATGAAAAAACAGCATGTGAAAAAAAAAGTTTTAAATAAACCATATATTCTTTATCTTCATAGCTGGTGGAAGCAGATGTAATTGTCTATTTCATCTCGTCTGATATAAATCCTCCATTTATTTTAGCACTTGATTTTGAATCCTCTTTTTGTGCTGTTTTCTCAATGTCTGTGTTTGTTTTGACATGATGTCTTCTGTAAAGACGGTAGCCTGAGGATCAATACATGGACAGTATTAAATAAAAGAATTATAAAAATTGCCTGAAAAAAGATGCTGTAGTAACATATATCCATGCAACACTTTCTTTCCTTGTATTGCTAAAGAATTCCAACATCTCCAAAAGGTTTTTTTAAAGCTATGCTTTGATTTTGAAATCCATTTGATTATTTTTATCCCTTCTAGTTTTCTCAATATATGTGAAAAGTTAAACGGGTAATAATAATAATTATGGTTCTATAATAAAAAATTACTATACTTTACCTCCTAAAATTAGTAGCGCAAACAACAGCTGGAAAATGCTGTAGATGAGTGGGAAAGTAAACATCAGTTCAAGTTGTTCAGGAGTGAATGAGAGCTGTACTATAGTGGAACATAGCTGAGTGTTTTGCATGCCTGTTTCCAGAGACACTGTACGACACCTAAAGGGAATGATACAAAGACAGTTGGGAAATAGCATCCAGTGGGTCCTTATGTTTTTTACTAATCTGGATAAGCAAAAAATGTAAAGGATAACTAAGAAAATTGTTTTCTTCAGCTGACATAGTCAGCAAAACACTCCACCTATGGCTGGTACCACAAATTATTGGCAGTTCAGCAGCTGTAGAAGACTGTGAACCACCTTCAAGGCACATATGTGGCACTCACTGTCTCCCTCTCTTGCAGTGATGTTCTAAATTGGAGACTGCTGCGTCTACATGAGGGGTTTTACTGCAGTTCCAAACCACTTACGAGTCAGGTCTGTTTCATTTGCTTGAAGTGCTAGACATTGGCACAAAAAGTGCAAACATATGAAGGGTTGGTGGAAATGTTATAATCAGATTCTGTAAATTAATGTGCACAAGACAAGTTTTGTCTGCACATAGTATCACAAAAAACAGGCTTAATGAATGAGTGACTTTGTAACATAATTAATGTTTAGGGAGCATTCTCAGCATTGATTAATTGCTAAATAAAATCTTTTTACGCAGTTGAATAAAGGCTATGCATTACCTGTTCCAAGACAGACCAGCTAGACGAGCCAGAAAGAATCCTAAAGTATAGCCAGCCGCTGGAAATATGGTGCCAATGATCCATAGTTTTGGTGTGATAACCCAGGAGCCTTTGTAGAGTATTCCCCCAACCACAGCAATGAGCACGATGAGCACTGCTCCAACAATGGAACCTACCTGTGAAGCAAAAGAAGAGGAACTGAGTCAGAGTCACAGAACCACAGAACACTGCACACATGAGACCTCAAGGAAATTTAATGGCAACAAACATGGTGTCAAACATGAGTCATTGAAATGTCATGTTAAATATGAAATCTAATGTTTACACCAATATAATTCAAAGCAGGCAGAGAGATGAGATAGTTGCCATTTTAACAAACAGAAGATATATGATACATTTCAAGGTGTGACTACAGTTCAAGACAGAGCTGTAATAGGTATCTATAGCAGATATCTGTAAAACTAGTCTTTTGAAGCCTTGACTATAATTGTACTTAGGGCTGGAGATGAGAAATAATTTTACAGATGTGATATGAGTGAGGAATGGTGCACGTATTAGAAAAAATTCCCCAGAGTTGTTGAGAAACGGACAGCCTAGTAGGTAGAATACTGCATTTTCCTCCCCCCCTTGGTGAATCACACTCTGAGGCTTAGTACAGTGTGTGCTAATTACACACTAGATTGCTAGTGAGCTATTGCTAGGAAATTATTTGCCAATTGCAGGCTAAATCTTTAATGAGGCTAAAAATTAATGCTTGAAAACTGGTTATGAGCTTGTATAGCCCTTCTACATAGACCTAAGCACTGCAGATTATTTTATTTGCTGTGACTGAATGTACTGAGATCTTTACCACTGCTTGCCTAAAAAAGTTATAACTCACTCTCTTTTCAATATCCAAGTGGAACATCTGTCATTATAGCCTGTGTTGCCAGGGATCTCAGAGACACACTTCTTAGTCTAAGCTTAGGTGAATCTATTCCTCAGCTAAAACGTGTATTGCCATTGAAGTGGTTTCATCAGTCTTTGGCTGAAGCATTTTTAAGAGCACTGAGTGAACAAGTGCTTTTGTTTGGCTGAGCTATTAACCACATACACTTAGGAAGAAGAAACATGGTCTGGCCATGACAAGCTCTTCTTTCACCTGGCACACTGTCTTTTTTCTCTTGTCTGAATTTCTCACTATATAGGCCTTATTCTGACAGCAATGGCTCAATCTTCACTTGATGCTTCATTGTCCTACACAAAGCAAACTCTCATCTGTGTGCTGCTCACCCACTCAGTAAGAAGGAATGAAATGGGGCTTTGCTGAGAGATCAGGTAGTTTCTTTACATGTGAGTACAAGTCCGTGCTTTCCCCTCAACTGATTAAATAGAAAAAGTAAGATGTGAATGCATTTAAAAATGCAACATGATAGGCTAGCAATTTAATGAAAATGGATTGACTTAAAAAGACCTTACTTGTGCTCTATGCTGTCTGAGCCAATAGCAAAGAAGTGATAACAAATATAGGTAGAAAAACAGGTGACCAGACTAGTTTTCTTTAAGAAAATTTAGATACTATATTTGTTATGTAAGAATGGTTAACAGAGGCCAAAAATTCTTAGCACATCTGAAAGTCTCTTTAAACCTAAACCAAATGTACACAATGGTTAATTTGCTGCCACCCTATATATGGCTGAATTATTATTTTGATGAGAACAGTTTTTTGCTAAAATCCCAGTATTTTTGATGTATCTGAAACCATCTTGCAAAGATAGCTGTATTTTGTGAATAGTTTTTTAAGGTTTATATAAGAGTTGGAATATTTTCTGTTTATTATTTTTTAATAAAAATTGGCTTCACACTCAAAAATTGGCTCATAAAAAGCAGGAAACTCTCTTAAAAGGAGAAAGGCATTTTGATCCAGAATGATTTTATTTTTTATTGTTTTGCAGAGAAAAACTGCTTTGAATGATTTTCCTTCCAATTTCAGTTTACATTATACACTGAACTCAATTACTAACGTAGTTGCAGCCAAAGACAAAAGCAGGTTCTTTAGGTAATGATGGTCTCTTATAATGCATGCAACTCATGCATGTTTGTGCAGGGGAAAAGCAATACATTTCCACAGCACCTCATTTGTTTTCTTCTGAAAACTTTCCAAGTCTTATGAAGTCAGATACTAATACTATGAATAGCAATGTACTGCTTCAGTGGTCCCACTGATTCCATAATTTGTCCATAATTGCTTATACTTCAACCTTATATATCCTACCTTAAGTATGATTTTTGCTTTACTAGGCCATTTGTGGTTGATAAATATTCCACACGAAACAGGAATTATAAGAGCTACCAGAGAAAGTCCTGTAAAAAAATAAAAGAGAAGTCAAGACCCTGTATGGTGCAAGAGCTCACAACAGGACAGACATCACGAGTGACTGTGTGCCTGGAGCAGCCTTTCAGGGGATGTTTCTGGCGTGCACACCCGGACTTGCACGCGCACTCTACCCGCACCTGCCCATTTGCTTTTCTATAGACTCTGTTATCTTTGGCAGCCTGTTGAAGTAATTGCCATTCTGCTGAGCTACATGCTCATTCACCTGCATCAGAAAGGCAGACAGAAATCTGAGTGTGCTAATCATCGCTATCCTGTGATGTGAGTAGCTTTATTAAATGTTCATTTTGTCTGCAGGTGTTTCGCTACTGTACCGTATCAGGAACTCGTTTAGAGCTTCTTTTGTTTTGGCCTTCCCCCTCCAGTATTTATTTTGAAAGCACAAGCAACCAATTGGATTTTTGTTTTTCCCCAAGGACAACGGGAAGTGAAGTTGAAGAATGTGCAAGTGATTCTGCTGGCTTTTAAGATTAGCACAACATGGAACTGTACTTGATAAGCACTAGGGCCACAGCTCTGCAAAGCACTGGAGCATGTATTTCTAAATACTTTAACTATTTTCTCTTTGTAGCTGGATGAGATTTTTGACAGGAAGTCAAATGAAGCCACTCCTGGCAGTGTAGATTGCAGCTTTTCAAAGATACTCAGCAGCTTTAATCACTTGCCTAATTATCCACGTGTGCTTAAGTATTTTGCCAGATTATGGCCTCAGCATTTAGCACTTTGCAGGATTGTGTCTTAAAGCTGTTATAAACACTTTCATTCAGAAGAAGAAATTATTCCTATATGAATTATTCTATATTCTTATCCCACTACCACATAGGTCTCAAAGCCATTTGGAAAGAAAAACATGCACAATTTTGTCATAATTATCTGTACAATATTTATAACATCTTCAAGTCTTTCTTTGGCAGAGCTGTGGATGATGTGCAGTGATTTTTGGTGCCTAATGCCTATGGAGATTATTAAAAAGTAGAAAGAGGAATATTTGTAAAAATCTGAGGTAATCTCTTCCTGATTGCAGGATGATGGTATAGAGGTGGTTGTCCCTGAATGGAGGATAGACAGAAGGGAAAGTACTCTTTCACTGGACTCACCAATGCTGTTATAGGGGAGTACAATTGCATCAGCATCAGTCCACATTTTGGTGTAAATAAAGAGACAAAGTGGCATCATTCCCATTGCAAGCAGCGTGGAGCAAGTTGTCATGCTGATGCTGCAAAGAAATTGGTTACAGTGACAGTTCATCTCATGCTAGCCCACAGTCTTTCTCGTTTTCTTATTACCATTTCACACCTTGTGAAAGGTTGTGCAAGAAATGTTGCTGGCTACAGACAATTTATCAGGTTAGAGAAAAGCTAAATGAAAGGAATGGCTTCTGCTGAAAAGAAAAGAATGTGAAAAATCAAGGTGTTCTGCAGCCACAGAACCATAACTTTTGGTACAAAGGAGGCAGTCAGACAGGTGGCCAGCAGAAAGGTCTGTTGTCAAATCTGTCTCCATGCTGCCTGTCTGGCTGGTTTCAGAGAGGATGGCAAGCAGGGAACAGGGGCAGAGATGGACATCAAATGGAGCTTTCCATTGTAGCAGCAGCTCTAGAGTGTTAAAATTGAACTCAAATTGTCTACAATTTGTGATATAATAAAATTCCCTTTTCTGGCTTGTTTTGCTCAAGGCCAAAAAGTAGGTGCTAAGAATCACTCAGTGAGGCTTAGCATAAGTATTGTTGCTGCATTTTGCAAAGATATTTCTGTTTTCTGTTGTACAAAAAGATGTACTGCTACAGGCGTGAAGGAATAGAAAAAGACATTGGAATTGGAATACAATGGATAAAATTATGCATACAAATCTCATTTTTCTGGTATAAAAATAGTGAGAGAGTGTTCTAGTCAAGAAATTTTGAAAGTTTTCTTCTGAGCCTCACTTTAGATTTCTCTTTATTGTTGCTTGTTCTCTGAAAAGGGACTACTGATCCTGGCCCACAAATGAGCAGATCCAGAGAAATCTAGAAAAATCAATGCAGAAACCACAGGAATATCTGCATTCATTTTGGTTCCAGTCATTCTCTGCTTTAGAGTCATTGAATAAGATTTTGCAGGAGCCTTTAGCAAAAGAGCTCCTATAGAATTCTCCTACAGAGAAAAACAATTACGGGCTACAATTAAGGTTTGATGAACTCCCAAATGGAAAAAAAACCCCTCATGTTCCTACCTCTGTGCTTCCTGTATCTTTATACTGTTCCTGAATGTACCTCCTTCTCCAAAGTCTGGCCATCCCCTAACCCTGTTTCTACATAAGCAGTTGTTTTTGTGAAATATTAAGAGATATCTCTATGGGGAATCATTAGAGTATATCAGCTGTGTTTGATTTACTAAGAAAGACATGAAAGATCATACTTCACCTGACTATGATTATAATGCTAATTATAAAACTAATTCCTTCTCTAACTTGTGGTCTATTTGCTCAGAGAGGTTTTGAAACAAAATATCTACAATGACCATATGTTGTAATATATAATCATAAAATATTACAGTTAAAACCAAAACATTGTCTGATATGATGGGCAGGTTTCTATCATACTGTGGTAGCTCAGAAACCATCCACACAACTTCTAATGTTATTCTTCTACTGAGAAGAGAAGATGCTTGCCTTGACAATCTGCTGTACCTCCTGTATCCTGTGGTCGCTGCATCTTTGTTGAAAAGGTACTGACCAAAAGCCTTTGACCTAAAGTAGAGGTCTTTACCTGAACAATAAACTTTTAAAGGCACTTTAAATTAACTTCACCCTTTGTCAGCATTATGGGATAGAAATCCTGTTCATGTTTTCAGCATTATAAATTTGAATTTTTACCATTGATATCATTAGAGCAATCCTGAACATACAGAGCTGATTAAGCATAGTTTAGCTCAGTTTATTCTTTCCAGGAGAGATTAGAACAAAATTTCAGCCTTGTACTCAATCTTTTCATCTGTGATTTCTTAGACCTGTATTAGTTGAAATTTAGAGTCTTACAGTTCTTAATATCATAGATTTTTCCTCTACAATGAGGAAGTCAAGGGTTAGCAGAGCTAACCTCATTTATAATTTGGAAGCTTTTTTTACATTAACACCTATATGTGACAGAAAAGTTCAGTATTTTCAAAGGATGAAAAAAATGTACTAAAGCTGCAGATGTTAGCATTCTTAGACTATTTACTCTAGCTCCACATCTTTCTTGCTTCTACTATTTTTTCCATTTCTAGTTAAGACTGGCTATGATAAATTGGATGAATGCTCCAATTTATTTTACTCTGTAGGAAAGAGACAAATGATCCTGTTTATTTTAGACTAAAGTAATCAGGACATAAAACTAAAAATATGACTTATTTTTAGAGGCTCTTAGAGTTGATGAACCCCCCATAGAATTTGCGTCAAGAGTAGAGCTCACTTCGCCTGTGTGTTTGATGTCCTAGGCCATGTCTGTTGCCTTACACATCTGTTTCTGAGTTCATAGCACTTTGTCATTGAGACCATCACACTGTCACAAAGGAAGGTTTTCATTGCCCCTGATGTGCAGGGCTGCCTTAAGAAGTGGTTGCTAGTCTGTAAAATGTTCCCTTAGTTTGAAGACTTTGCATAAGGTTCCAGGAGCAGAAAGAATTATCACAAGTATTTGTTAGAACTAGTATTCATTGAGAAAAGAAATACCTGTCTTTTTATTGTATAGAACACAAAAGGAGGGAAAATATTTTTCCACAGGAGCTTTTTTAAAGAAATATTACTTCAAGAAAAGTTGCATAGCCACTATTTTGTAGAGAGGATTCTGGTCCCAAAATGCTATTTTTAAAAAAATATTTTTACTATTAAAGGCCTTGGGAGAAGGAAAAGTAATTTTAACTTGGCCAAAGTTTTCTTATTGTATATTATTTTAATTGTCTTCATAGATGATATTTGCTCCAGGATCTGAAGTTTAACAATAAAGATATTTTATAATATACACAATTCTGTTGTGATATCTTCTTCATGAATTCCCAATGAATCAAGGATATTTGCTATTCTTCTTATATTTATTTCAATTACAGTAACTAACCATCTTTACAAGGAGAAACCAGCATGCATGTGCCAGGAAGCTAAGAAAAACATCAGTCAGATCAGACAGTCCTTTTCAATGTAAAATTTACAATTTACATGTAAAGAGACACAGGAAGTATTTAGGCTGGTCTTACCTTAGGTCCATGTCTCCATCCACCCAGTAGGCAATGACATTCGAGGCTGTGCCCCCTGGACAGCATCCCATGATCATCACCACGACAGCTTGAATTGGAAGGACGTTAAAGGCCAAAGAGAGCAAGAAGGCTGTGAGAGGCATAATTCCAAACTGGCAAAGGAAACCCACAAATATACCCCAGGGTCTTTTTATGTGGCCCAAGAAATTCTTAATTTCCACATTGCAGCCCATGGAGAACATCACCAAAGCCAGCATGATTGTTAGAACAGTACTTAAAACTACGCTCAAAGTTTGATTAAAATTGTCTCCTGTCAATACACAAGAGGTGCCATCACAAATAGTAGCATTTGCTGGACAAGCCGTGGAGTTTTCTGCCAAAGAACCAGCATTAAATTGCTGGGAAAGAAAGTTTGTCTGCATTTTGAAATACAGAGCTGCTCACTACATCCGCAGTAAACTTTCAAGCCTGCAGTTGTTTGTCAGTGACTTCTTTTAAATGATCCAGGAAGCAATAAAGTGCAATAAATGCCAGAAAACCCTTACTACTCTTGCAGGGTTTGGCTCAGTGCTGATTCATATAGTTATAAAAGTTGCACTTCTTTGGTACAGTGACCATTAATCATTTATTCATATGGTAATGAGGGATCCCACATCAAGAGAAAAGCATGTTAATATTTAAGGGTGTAAAGGAGGCTTGTAGTGCTGCTAAGCCCATGAAATGGGAATCACAGAAGAAGAGAAAGTTTAGACTTCATTCTCTGAGTTTCTTGCATGCATTTGGGAGACCTGCTCATGCATGCAATGTTGCTGGCAGTACAGGGGTCTGTGTGGTGAGTAACTGAGACACAAGAAACCATGAGTAGAAGTCCTGAGATATGATTTGAATCTGCTACTCTTGCTAATGGGTGCCACACTCAGCACAACACACAGGCTCATTTGAATGACATGAAATCTTTGTTTCTGGCAGCATGGAGATTCAGTGTCCTCCTGACACCTTCTGTCAGGTGCAGTGGGTGCAGTCACACTTTGATCCAGCTTGGAATGGAATGGCTGGACAGTGAGGGGAGGAGAGTGGGGTGGCAAGGGCGGAGGAGGAAGGAGATCCATTCTCTGAGTCAAGCGTGGTGAGCAGAGAGCAGGGCAGTGAGGCTGGCACACAACTGTGGAGCTGGTACCCAGCAAATTGTCCCCTTCTCTGCCCAACATGCTCAGCATCCACACCAGGGATGACAGTGCAGGTCACCTTTTTTTACTAGGTACAGCACAAAGGTTAGGAGATAGGTTTCTTGTGCCTGGCTTTGGTATGGCTTGTTGTGCTCTGTCATCTCTATGGCTCAAAATAAGTTTCAAATACTGAAAAGCTTTTAAAGATTTACCCCTTGGGCTTCCATGAAAATCTAGAAATTTGGATGGTTTTCAGAGGAAGAATCTTAATTATTCTTCTTTACCTGTGCCAAAGCTTTGTGGCAGAAGTATCTTCAAGTGTAGATCTTAGACTAAAATCAAGTCTGACATGTAAAGTGCAATTGATGCCCCCCAATAATCTTTGTTTTTCAACGCAGAAATATTTTTTATTTGGGTAAGCCATAATTATCTTCAACAAGCAAGACTCTCACTGGAAGTCTCAGGACTTTTGTTCCTAACATCAATGTATGAAATGATAGGAATGATAGGAGTTGCTTTTTTTTTATACTTTAAACCTTGAATCATGTAGGGGGAGCTGACTGCATTGGAAAGGATTTCCCAGCATGCTCAGATGGCACCTGTTTCTTTACAAAGGGGTCAGCCAAATGTCTGTATCTCCTAAGTCACTGTTGGGTGCCTGATGGGATAATGTCAGAGTAGCTTTATCCTCCCAGGCAGCTGGCAACCCCTACCCTGTGATTAGTGCCACATCTATGTGACTAGGCTATGTCTAACAGAACAACAAGTAAGGTAATAAGGAGCAGATGAAAGGAAGAGAAAGCTACAAGATCTCAGTTTGGCAGAAAAACTTATTCTCCTTTATATGCTTGCTTTCAAACAGAATGTTTTAGGAGATTTTACTTTTCAATCCAAATCTTTTAAAGTGCTCATAAGGTTTTTAAAGCCATATTAATAATGCTGTATTAATATTTTCTATAAAACCTCTCTCAGAGTCTTGATTTGCACTTGAACTTGCTTCTTGTTGAAACTAAAATCTTTTTACAAGTGTCTTGAAATCTCCAGCAAACCTTGGGGTTGGGGGCAACTTTCCTAGTCCTGTAAATATTTGGTATGCTGTGGAAACCCAGAGTGAGTAGTCTGGGAGGGGACCTGAGACTTAAGAGTGGCTGGTTCTCAGCAGAGCCTCGTGCAGGACCTTGCTTTTACCTCTTCCATCTCCTTCTGACCCTTTGTCTGGGTGCTGCAGGGGTGCTTGATGCTGCACCCTCAGAGACAGCACAGATGAAATGTCCCTGGTTTGGGTCTCCAGCCTCTGCTAAGGGACTAGACAGTGCAGTTGTCATTTTGGACTTTGATTTCTGGGAACAGTGTGTAGGGGGAGACCTTCATGCTGAGGTTTTGTGCTTAGCTAAGGATAAACAGTACATCAGCTACCTGTGTGGCCTTGTGAAGTAGCAAATTGTGTAAAATTAACCTGTATTTAACTGCTAGTTTTGCCTTTGTTTTTTTCCCTCTATTTAAAAAGGGATGATTGTGAGTCATTATTTCAGCAGCTAGCTGTATAAAACCTTAGATCACAAAAATGCTGTCTGGAAACAGAAGAGACCCCTTCTGAATTCAACTTATTATTAGGCTGACATTGCCACAATATAGCACAGATGAGAATGTCTGTATCAAGAATTCCTCATGTGTTAGGGAATTAAAACCTTGTCCAAGACCTTGAAATATTTACAGGCACAGTTAAAAACTTGGCATGTTGCAGCAGGTACAGTATTATTGAGTAGGCAGGTGGGTCTCTCAGGACTGCTGGATTTCAAACATTCCTCTAAGTCTGTTTTGCTTTTAAAAATGTGCTTCTGGGATTTAATCCATTTGCATGGATTAAATGCGGGCTAGTAGGAGACATCCTCAAGGAAAGCAGCAATTCAGAGATGGTTTTCAGAGATACTTAGCTGTATGCCTTCTGTTTCACTGCCTGTTTTCCACTCAAGTTATGGTGCTTAACTGCTAAGATGGACTATGTACTGCTCTGTGAACCTAGCTGGCATCTTTTGCCTGTACATGTTGCACGTGTTAGTCAGGGTGATTTTAAGCATTTGCCATCGACATTCACAGAAGGAAGGAGCAGTGCAGTGAACTTGGTGGCATTTTGGTGATGATTAACATACCCAGACTAATTCTTGACACTGTCAGCGTACATCAAAAATGAGAAAAATCAATACTCAAATAGAGAAATACCAAACTCAATATATATTTGCATCACAAACAGCAATACTGTGATGTGTCTTCTTGAAATTTTGCAGTGATGAGGCTACCAGTTTATTCAAGTGAGTTTAGTGTCACTTCAGCAAACAAATCTAGGTAGGTAGAACTTGTAAGGATCTGTTCCTGTGCTGACAATTATGTAATTGATTTATCCATTAACTCAGGCAGTTATAAAACAACAACAGCAGTAAGTGCATGCAGAACCCTGCAATGGGAGAGGCTATTTAACTGTTTGTCTTTTATGGCTGTCTGGTGCTTATTCCAGTGATGTTTCTCTTAATGAGACTTATGAATCTTCCCTGTCTGCTTAATTCAGACTCTGAGATGCTTCTTGGTATATTTATGTCTTGGTTAGAAGAATCTTTTTTTTTCAGATAATTGATTACCTAAAGTCAATTGCCTGCTTTTTACCACTGTCCTAGGGTGACTTTATGATGCTTGTATCCCCAGTCATCTGTTCTGTTTATGCTGAATATTATATATATATATTATATTATATATATATATATATATATATATATATATATATATATATATATATATAATATTTTATATATGTTATTGCTCCCAAATTTTCCCTAAACCAGGACAACTACCATCTTCAAAAGAGTGACAACAGCTGTACCTAGTATTGCTGACCTTGTTTATAACTTTAAACTTTAGCATATAGGTATAGCTATATACTATATAGCTATAGGTGGAAGATTTTTTTCATTTGTTAAACTTTTACCACACTGGAAGCTTATAGAAGGCATTAAGAAAAGAAAATCTCCATGCAATAGCAGGAGAGAAAGTGATGACTTTAAAATACATCTAGGTCAGGATAGCTTCCTATCAAAGTCTTCTGCAAAGCTTACTTACAGAATCTTTACATTACATTTTTACATTTCACTGACTGGAGCAGACATCTAGACTCTGCCTGATATTCTGTTGAGCTGAGTTTCAAAAGAAACACTGGGGACACAAGTATTAAGCTCAGCTGGGAAAAAAGCCTAATGTAATAGATACTTTGATTACAGGCAAATTTAGGTAGCTGGTGAGCTGATTCTGAGAGATGCACCTTACAGTCATGGCTGGGTTCCTGCACAGAGTAAGTGATTGGCTGAAGGGATTTGGCTCTGATACAATTTGTCAGAACTCTAATTTTTGTGCAAGGAGAAATCCATAGTGCTTTTGCATTTTCTGACACAATTCAGACTTCCCAACCCAAATCATGTTTTAGTGTACCTGTCTAAGTAGCCAAATGTGAGAGTTTTAGCAGAACATAACAAAAGTGCATAATTACTACACAAATGCATGGAAGAGAATGCAAAGGCCTTAGGCTTTGCTCTTTTCTGATAGATGTAGGAGGGGAAATCTGCATTTCACATGTTCAGAAAAGACTGTCTGCTGTAACACAAACACCAACAGTTGCCAAAAGCATAAGTTAGTCTTTTACTACCTAATTGTAAGAGTGACTTCTAACATTGATTAAAAAGCTGAAAGTTAGATAATTTAATAACAAATCAAAGAAATGAGTCATGCTATCAGGTATAAAAGTGTAGGTTTTTGAATGATTCTATTAGATTGGAATCCCTTAATAAAAGCATTTTTACATGTTCCTCACCAAGGACTGCCTTTGGTCTTTGAGGGCTAACATATGAGAGAAATATTTCAGTACCTGTCCTTTAAAGCTGTAATTTTAATTAGTAGTAAGGCTTAATTAGGATAGGTGGCCAAAAAAAAAAAATAGATGTATAAATTCTAGATCAAAGGTCTGATTGATTTTAATTCTACAAGGTTAAAGAAAAATAAAATTATTATAAGAATTTTATTTTTTTTGGAACCAAAATTAGCTCTTTTAATTTTCATCAGAAGGGGAAACTACTTATACTGTTTTTGCTTTGTTTTTGTATTGGTTTATGACATTTAACTCCTAACAAATAGTAGGAAATCAGTGTTTTGCCTGCAGTCCCAATGGCCTTTCCCACCATTATCCAACTGTGGAACCTGGCTGCACCTTTAAAAAT